ATAATATAAATACTAGGGTTTATGACCATATAATGTCTATTGCAACTAATCAACCCTGTTGTAGCCAAATATAATATGAAAATAAAGGAGTGAGATTTTGTTCCAATAAAGCTTTATTTACAAAAAGAGGCACTGGGCCAGATTTAGCCAACCTTGGCAGGAAAATCAGTAAAGGCTTTGGCTTTTTTATTTCTTCTGAAAGCATTCCATACAAAAAACTCCAAGTACAAACACAAGAACAATTTGGAACCGCAAATGTGACTCCCACTTGTAGTTCTGAGAGTAGATTTGGATGTTGTTTCTCACATGGACCGTAACAGAGATTTAAAAGAACAGATGTATTTAAAGTAGAAAAAGTGCTAAATACGCACTACTCTTCACACACACAGAAATAATTCTGATCAGTGATAAAATCGACTGAGTCAGAGTCTCTTGGGCCAAATTTTGCATGGATTGTACAATAATGTATAGTGTTTAAAATATTTGAAACTTCTACCCTCTTTTAGTCTGCTATGCACTTGAAGCAGTGACTTACTAAATGGCACCTACACGGCAAGATGAGAGTGACTTGGTATCTGTCATCTTTAGAGAATTATATGTTCTCATGAATGCAAGGACATAAGAGCTATCTTTCAAAAGCAAGGGATTGGAAGGTCATGAAAGCATGACATTTTGTAGGCTTATCTCTAAAAGGACAAGTGTCCTTGTACTGTGCTCAAAACCAGTTTAAAGATAAAATAATGACTATAAACACCTATACTGTTAAATCATAAGGAGTACAAAGGCATAGCAGCAAGCAGACTTTGGGGTAGTTTCATTTCTAAAGTCAATCCTAAAAATCATTGCTCCTTGAACCAATCCTCCATCCCTTAGATCAGTGTCCCCAACCTGGGCTGCAAATAAGAATTGCTAATATCTTTTTTACCAAATAAAATTCTGGACCCCGTTTCAAAACAACCGAGTGAGATAAAATGTTGACTTGACTTTCATTTGCCTCTTCTCAGACTTCTGATTGGGTTGGAGAAAGTGATTAAGTCCATTTCACATAGTACTTAAAAGTAAATATCACAACTGCTTTAACAGAGAACCAGGGCTTACAGCTAAAATCACTTCTGTACATATATTCCTAGTTCGTCATTTTTTCCTCATAGAATCATCAACTTCTCTTAGGCTCCTAGAGAGAAATTAACCCCAGGGGATGGACAAATCTATAATGTTCACATTCCAGTTCAGGACCTGAGCCCATCATTTTCTTTGAAAAGGTATTTACTAAGAAGTAGGTTTTTAAAAAAATATGTATTTTATTATCTTCATTTTACATGTATGAGAGTTTTGCCTACATGTATGTAAGTGCACCTGTGCTGTGGAATGTTTGAGGAGCTTAGAAGAAGGTGCTAGATCCCCGGGAACTGGAGCTGGGAATTGAACCCAGGTCCTCTGCAAGAGTAGCCAGGGCTCTTAACCACTGAGCCATCTCTCTAGCCCCAATTTTTTAAAGAGCTACTCTACCAGTATAGAGTCTATTTATAGTAGAATATTATCTGTCTGGTCTCTGATCTTTTTACATTTTTTTCTAGTTTTTATTCTTTTTGTCCTCCAAAGACTTTTAAAAATGACTCCAAGCTGTGAAAAGGCCCCATGTGCTTTAAAGGACAGGACCAAAGGAGGTCACCCAATGCCTGGGGTGAAGTTAGGATAGAAGAGCAGATAGAAATGAAAAAAATGTAAAGGAAAATATGTCTTATATTTATGTCCCTTTGTCTCCGAAGGCATTTTATCAATACATCAACTCTGTACCTGAGTCCTCTGTTAGCATTGGTGGGAACATCTACTTTGATTTTTCTTTTCTGAGATGGGATTTCTCTACCTAGTCCTGGCTGGCCTGGAACTCCCTATGTAGACCAGGCTGTTCTAGAACTCACAAAGATCCACCTGCTCCTTCCTCCCAAGTTTTGGGATCAAGGACGTGAGCCACTGTGCCCAGCCCTAGTTTGGCTTTAATGTCCTATTTTCAGATTGTAGGTTAGTAATGGGCAGAAAGTGCAATGGTAAAAATCAGGCAGGACAGGGCTCCAGATCTCCCTGAGTTATTTCCACTCCCCCAGGCTGCTCAGCTTGGTGAGCGTAAGTTTATAGGAGTCGAAGTAGCTTCCCCCACTGTGGATAAAAACAGTACAATAACAAGGGGGCAGACATGTGAGAACCAAAAAAAGATAGTGTAACAATTATATTTGGAGAGTATATTTTTATATCATGTATATTTAAAATATAATTTGTAGGTTAAATCAGTAACCATAGAAAATAAGCTGTGATTTTCTTATTGTTTTCTGCCTATATGATACATGTTACTTTAGGATCTCAGAGCTGTCTTATTTCAGGTATTCTAGGCACAGTGTTCCACAGTACAAAAAACAAAAAATCAAATTTAAAAAACGAAATCAATTTTCCATACTTAACGATATTGTGAAATGCAACCCTTCCTTGAGGCCTGTCCTGGAATAACAGCGTATGATACAGAGCAAAAGAATGCCAAGAAAAAGCTAGAAAAATGGTTTTAAAGCTGTGGGAACGTGGAAGGGGAACTGAATCAGCATCCACCCTGACAAATGCTGGTAACTCTGCAGTTACCACCGGCAGCCACTGGGCTCACTGGCTTCTCTGGCTGCCTGAGGCTACAGACTTCAAGCTGCCTTTGCACTTTTGTGCTAGTTGGAAGCCACAAAGTAATTCTTATTATATGTCAAACTGACCCACAGACAACAAGGGAAAGAGGTGACATAATCCGTCTGTTTTGCAGCTGGAGAAATTCAAAATGGGAATGAAGGTAAAATGCACAGATACTCCATATTGTATTCCTACTAAGTCAGGCGTGGCATCGAGAGCTAGAGACATATAAGCATTGTAGATCACAGTGGGCATGTCATCAGGAACACTTTGGCTGGTGACATGGCAGAATGGGGTGGTAATAAAATCATCCAGTTCAGTGAGGGATGAGAGAAACACTAAACATTTTATATTTTTCTTTACATCAATCTTTATTATAATGGGTGGATTTTGATGACATCACTTATGAATGTTCTGGAACTTTAGGTTGGCCCCTTTAATTGAACCAAACTCAACAAAACTATGAGGTTTGCTAACTTTGTTTTTTGCTTTTATTAACATTCCCGAGCTTACACATTCCTTTTTGTCTTATTTACATTCAGAAGCTTGGTGGTTTAGATTTCTATACCATTCCTGAAGGGCAGAGACCAGTAAGGGATGTTCACAAAGACTTGCGCTACAAACAATACTGTGAACACCTTCAGACCTCTCAACAAACATCTTCTTGGTTCTATTCCCTGAGAAGTTTACTAGTCAAGTGTGCTAAGTATCCCCTCAACCTTCTTGGAAACGCCTTTCCCACTTTATCTCACCAGCACAAGCCAGCAAAAAGACCCATTATAATAGTGGCAAAGTTGTAACAGAAAGTATTGGCACAGGTTTGACTCCTCTCCCAAAGCAAACTACCATGGAGAACAAATTCAGATAGCTTCTTTCCCTTTTCCATATGAAAAAAAGGAAAATAGATGTGCACTCAAACTTTCGTATTTGTGGGCTCCACATCCACAAATTCAAACAGCTAGGGATTAAACATATATTTTAACAACTGCATGTGCTTTAAATAGGAATAGTTTTTCTTGTCATTATTCCGTGAATAATGCTGTATGCATGACAATTATGTGTGTTATATTTACATTGTATTAGGTATTATAAATGATCCAGAAATGATTCAAAGTATGTGAGAGGCTATATGAGGATTATTTGCAAAGACTGCATTATTTTGTTGAAGGGATTTTGGTATCTACAGGGAGCCCTGGAACCGATCCCCTGTGGGCACTGAGGGATGGCTGTGTTCCATAAAGAGGAAAATGTGGCTGACTTCTGCTGAATTGATGGTCTGCCTCATCGTGACTCCCATGAGTTCAGCACAGAAAAATGAGCTTCGAGAGACTGAGGAGGGGGACAAAGAGAGAAGAGGAGTAAGTGTGGTACTCAAGGCTACCCATCCATCCTTCCCTCCCATCATAGTGGGCTACTTCTTCTCAGAAAGACTCAGTGTCCTCTTGTGGTATGTGAAGAGAATTCACATTTCTCAGTCTTAGGGCAGTTAGGGAGTGGCAGAATGTCAAATAAGGTTATGAGCACAGAGTTTAGCACAGAGCCTGTCTTATGGTTGCTTGCTCGAGAAGTGTTAGTTCTTACTGTTTTTTCCCTTTCAGTCCTTATCATCATCTATGCAATTTTCTTTTTAAATAACTTATTTAAAATTTGTCTCTGAGAGACAAATACATACATAGCAGCTAACAACCATCTCTAACTCCAGTTTCCAGGGCATCTGACGCTATCTTCTGACCTCTGCAGGCATTGCATGACACAAGTGTACTTACATACATGCAGGAAAAACACCCATACACATAAAAAAATAAGTAAAATATTTTAAAAATTTGTCTCTTATTTTTCCCTTTAAATGATAGAAATGAAAATACTTGATGAGTAATGGTGTATATAATCAATATCCTTACTTTTTTCATATTTAGAGCCATCTGTGAATCCCTTTTCAACTGGATTCTCAAAACAATTTCCAGCACATTGTACTTGCAGTCAAATGAAGTAGCAATTTTCTTAAAATATGGAGCAGTTTGTGTGCTGGGCAGAATATGTATTCAGGTTCATAAACATAAACATTTTTAATGTGGCATTTAAACATGAACTATGTAACTCCAAAATGCTATAAAAACAAACAAAATAATTTCAGGAATAAAGAGATCTAACTAAAGAAAAATTGCAAAAAGGCAGCAAGGAAGAACCAAGAAGCAAAGTGTCTATGATACGAGATATTTGATCATGGATAAAAACTTGTTTCGTAAAATTGCTTTAGAGGAAGACAATAAATAACATATTTAGAACTTGTTCACATTATATGTCAAGAGCCTTTGAGAGTTACTTATTATTCTGACCTTGTTCCAGCAGCTCCAAGCCTGGGCCAGCACCGAGCCTTTCTTCCACAATGACAACAGTGTAGCCATGCTGAGCAAGAACGTGCTGGAGGAGCTGAAGCTTTGCTCTGATGGAGGAAGGGGGACCGTACAGTATGGCCCTTCTCCTGTGACTGCCAAAGTGTGTCTCAATCGCTGCTTCAATCTAAAAAGAGAAAGAAGGCACAGACAGCCAAGGCAAAGCATCAGTACATTTTTATTCAAGGGCATCATCAACGCCTATCAAGGCCATTCAGAAAGTTAGAAATGAAGCCCAACTACTCAGCACAACTCTCTGTTCACTGACAAGGACAAAGACCTCACATGCAAGGACTGAAGGTGCGCTGAATTGCTCTCACTGGTGTAGAAAAAATGAATACTTAAAAACATAGGGGTCCTTGGGGAAAACTGCTGCCTAAAAAGATAAGGCAGCTGAAACCACAAATTAACAGTAATGACTGTCATCAAAAGAGTTCCAACTGTTTAATCACATTTAGGTAGATACAGCAGAGGAAGCAGACTCAAGAGGACAGGTTCTGTGCTGGAAGCATCGTCATAAAGGGGTAGAGCTGAAAGGCATCAGTACTATCTGTGATGCCTAATACTGAGTGTCAGCTTGACAGGATCTAGAATCACCTAGAACACAAACTTGTGGGCACCTATATGAGGAAGTTTCTAGATTGGTTGATTGGGGTGGGAAGACTATTCCATTGTCCTCTCTCTCTGCTTCCTGACTATGGCTGCCTTGCGCTCCTGGTGCCATGCCTTCCCCACCATGGTAGACTGTACACTCAAACTGCAAGCCAAAATAAGGTGATTTTGTTTGGTATTTGTTGCAGCAATGAGAAAAGTAATGGATACACTGCTATTTTCTCAGTTGGGGTAGAACAAAACTTTAATGCATTTGAGTGAGCCAGGATGAGTCTTCAAGTGTGAGACGATCAATAATATGGAGTTTCATAATTCTTGGTTCTTCCCACAGTAGTTTATTACTCTCCCATATAAATATTCCTCTTTCTCACTAAAGTGCTTGGAAGTCCATGAATAAATGGAATTTTGAATACACAAGTAAAGAGCCTGAAATTTAAATTCATTGTAAGGCTTAATGACATATATTGAATATTTTTCTGAAACTCAAGAACAAGCCTTGATAAGTGAAGATGGCTTATTACCAGGAGTGATGAGAATGGATAGTGGTCAGGCAAGAGAGATGAGAGGCCAAAGAGGAGGAGGTAAAGGGGAGGGTGGAGGAAGAAAAGTGGGAATTCAAAAAAACAAACCCCTTCTAATGGTAGTTATCTATCAGCTTTTCCCCTAGTGAGTCTAAAGTATAACATGTCCCATGACTTCCAGCATTTAAGTTTAATTGATGTGTCCATTAACTGAGTGAATTAATCTCACTTCCTTTATTTAAAGATTATTTATTTATTTATTTATAGTCTTTTTGAGACAGGGTCTCCCTGTAGCCCCTATCTAGCCTAGAACTTGCTATGTAGACCACGCTGGCCTCAGTCTCAAAGAGATCTTCCTGCTTCTGCCTCCCGAGTACTGGGATTAAAGGTGAGTACCACCATGCCTGGCTTGCTTTTTATTTTTAATTATCTGTATGTGTGCATGTCTGTGTGTGGGTATGTGCGTGCATGTTTGGGTGCCTGTGGAGGCCAGAAGAAAGCACTGAATTTCCAAGAGCTGGAGTTATAGGAGATTATGAGCAACTCAATGTGGATGCTGAGAAGCAAACCCCAGTCCTCTGCAAGTACTGTTGACCACTCAGGCCTCTCTCCAGCTTCCAATTCCACTTCTTTTCAGCCTCACAAAGCTGTTAGAATCTGATTTCTGTCTCTTGTCATTTATAATTATTTCCACTCTGGTCTTTATAATCTTCTGTGCTTTTGGCTTATAACTCCTTCATCTTCATCTTCTGTTCATCCCTCTATCAAACACCGAGCCATCCTGACATTCAGATCTTATCTCTCTTGGAAAATTTTTTTATTGAGATATATATTTCCATTAGAATTTATGAAAGAATTTTACATCTCCCCCCATGTCAGTTCTTTATGAGTGAGGTCTATCTTGTTGGTTTATTTCTAATGTCTATCCGAATACACAATGCACGATGTGATTAACAAGTGAGGTACTTAGTAAATTAATGAAGTGCAGTACTGAATCAAAATCTTTAAAGGTACTTACAGAAAGAAGAAACAGACTTAGCTGGGCATGATTGTACACACCTGTAATCCCGGCACTCAGGAGGCTGAGGAAAGAGCATCAAGAGTTCCAGCCCAACCCGGGCTACATAATGAGACAATGCAACAGTACATGTGAAAAAGAGAAGGAACAACAGCAGGAGGAGGAAGAGAAGGAGGAAGAGTGATAGGAAGAAGAGGAGGAGAAGGAGGGGGAGGAGGAAGAGAAGGAATGGCAGGAGGAATAGGAGGAGGAGGAGGAAGAGGAAGAGGAGGAGGAGGAGGAGGAGGAGGAGGAAGGGGAATAGGAGGGGGAGAAGAAAAGACAGTTTGGACTACAAACTACTGCTACCTGCAAATATATAGAGCAAGCAGAATAGAAACTCTAGAGCCAAGCTATTAGAATCCAGTCACTAGCACTATTCAGGTCTTTGACAATGTCTTTTTCCTGAGAGTGCTATGAGGGTTAAGAGTTAAGACATATAAAGTGCTTAGAACCGCTTTCCACATAAGAAGTTCTGTGTCTGTGTTTTTAAAACAATAATAATATATCATAAAGAGGAAGAAGTCATAAAAAAACATTTTGAGTTTGAGCTCAGTGTAGAACATACATTTCTTATGAATGAATCTGAAAGCAACAGAACACTAATCACTTTTAGTACTAATCATAATTACTTTAGGAAAACATGTTTGAGTAGCTATTTTCCCATGCTAAAGAATATTATATTTTATTAGTGAGAAAACTATTTAAACTCAAGATTTTACCCAGCAAATGTAACTAAACGGTAAACTTTTAGGTAGAGTCTGGAACTGAACACTAGCTGTGCCTTTCTGCTGGGGATTATAGGGAGTGAGCAGCCCTCAGGGGCCAAAGGAAACAAACAGGCATTTAGGTGAAAGGGAGGACACATGCTTGCTTCCAAATATACCAGGGCCACTCCAGTGAAATACAAGGATCCAGAATCCCTTCTCTCATTATTTTCCTTCCTAACCACAGGATGCTCCTGTTTATTCCAGCTGGCTCAAGCGCAGCAGGGATTTTACATGAGCAGAGAGTACTTAAAACCCTTCAGCTATTTTAATTTTGAAAGTTACTACCCCTCATTTTTTCTCTGTCTCTCAACCAAGATCAATTTAAGCAAGAAACATGTAACTTTTACCACTATACCTTATATTGGGCATTTTTTTGCATATTTTTATTGAAGTTTTGTGTATTTCATATACAACATCTTAATCATCTTTATATTCCTTCCCCATTGGCACCCCCCACACACTGAATTTCATGCATTCTGTCATTTGGGTTAAGGCCTATCAAGTCAAGTTAGTATCCCCTGATGTCCTTCAGTACAAGTTCATCAACTGGGGTCTAGTCAGCCTATCTAGAGTCCCTCCCTTAAAGAAGATCAGCTCTTCTTCACCTAGCAGTAATCAGCTGCCCATATATTGGGCATATTTTAAATACTGTAGAATTACTGCTCATGTTTTGTAATAATCTTTATAACTTAGATCAAAATTTTAAATCATTTCTGAGACTATAGAGAGCAAATAGGAAATAAGCTTCTCATTAAAATTATGTTGTATTATCCTGTAATACAAACTGCCCTTGTCCTTGTAATATTTATAACACACTATATCAGCAGAGTGGCCCAATACCAAAGGGCAAGAACAGTTTTAGCTGGTCTGATGACAGGTGCACATACTGCGTAAGTGAAATAAAAACTATGTGAACAATTATGTCAAGCACACCAGCAAAAGCAGGATTATCAACTGTGATTAACAGTGCTTTGGGAAGTAAGAGCTTGTGATTACTCTAGTAGTTTCAAAGGTGTATTTTTAGTGGAAGAATACATTTAGCCACTGTTCATCACTGCAACGTTCCTTGAGGCTTGCAACCCTGCTGACCAGAATTTAGAAAAGACCGAGTATTCAGACTATAAACCCCTGAATTATTTACATTTCTCTTTTAGTGAGAGATTTGCAAAGTTCATCCTCAGAAACTACTTTGCTAGGCTACATGAGAGCCCATTTATAGCGGAGCACATTATCTTTACTGGAAAGGCTTCAAAGTCTGAAATCTTTATATCACCTGAGATAAAGCAAAGCTAGAATATTGTAATAAAGCACTGGGAGTGTTTGATGGAGTGACATAGAGACATAGAGTGAGATGAAAGATGAATTGATCATCAAAATTATGACTTCAATTCTGGCTCTGCCACTTGCTTACTCTACATACTGGGGCAAGTTTTTTTAATCTGTTCGCATCAGAGTTTTTTCATATGTTTAGCTGAAGGAACAAATCCCAACTCATGAGCTTATATTGGAAATTAGATGAATTTTTATATGACAATGTCCAACACAATGTTCCACTAACTGATCCTAAAATATACAAAAAAGTTTCATTATAGTATTGTATTGTAACCATCCTTTTGTATTAGGAGGTCTCTAAGTTAAAAAGGTTTGGTCTCTGCCATAAAAAGCATTTTTGCAATAAACTGCATTTATATATCATTTATTTATTGTGTGTGCTTGCAGCAAATTACTATTTGTTTTCTTAATGATCTGCTTTAGTTTTTAAAATTTATTACTATTTTTTATCTTAATTTTGTATATACTTTTATTGAACTGCTGTGTATTTCATATACAACATCTTAATCATCTTTATACCCCCTTCCCCATCAACACCCTCCCATAGACCCCCCACTGGATTTCATGCATTCTGTCATTATGTTAAGGCCTATCGAGTCATTAGTGTCCCCAGACATCTTCCAGTGCAAGTTCATCCACTAGTTCAGCCTATCTAGAGTTCCTCCCTTAAAGAAGATCAGTTTTTCCTCACCTAGCAATAATCAGCTGCCCAATAGTTCTTCAACTAAGGTTGGGGTGCTGCCCATTTCCACAGGTGTGGTCTGTGCTGGGTGTTGGTCTGTTTCAGTTTCCATGGGTCTTGTGCATGCTGTCACCATTGCTGTAGGTTCATATG